CCCCCCCCCCCCCCTTCACTACCGCAACCCCTCGCTCCACAGCGCCTGGCGCGAGGTTCCGGGAGGCAGTGAACATGGGGTCCTTCACCGGGGGGTCGAGCTCCCTCAGCCGGGCGATAGACTCGCTCCGAGAGGAGTTCGGTCCCCACCGCTACAACGTCCTGACGAGGAACTGCAACACCTTCTCGTCCGCTCTGTGCGAGGAGCTGGTGGGGAAGCCCATCCCGGGCTACGTGAACAGGCTGGCTTGGATGGGTGAGCAGAGATTGTTAAGTAGGGACGAGGTGGAGGAGCGGGCAGCTGCTCCTGGTGCGGCTGCTGTGGGTTTAAGTAGAGACTGTGCACGCTTTCTTTCGCTGCTGACTCGCTTTTTTATCTCTCTCTGTCTCTCTCTCTGTTGTTGGTTCTTTTGCGTTCAATGCCGCTGGGATTGCCTGCCGCTGCATGTGTTCTTCCGAGCGGGTTGTAGGGCACAGTGCTAGTGTACTCCGTAGGACTTACTGCCACCTCTCTCAACCGATTCTGTCGTTTCTGTACGCGTCCTCTTTGTCCATCTCTCTCTCTCTCTTTCTCTCTCTCTCTTTCTCCCTCTCGTGCCGGCAGGCTCTTGGTTCTCTTGCCTGATGCCGCCGGGCATGCTGGGAGACGCGCCCGTTAACCAGGGCGGCTCGTCGTCGTACAACGCGGGCTACTCGATGCTCGCACCCCCGGGGAGAAGTAGCGGTACCGCCGCGGTTAGGGAGGGAGGGCCAAGAAACGCGTTCCAAGGTGCGTCTCGTCGTCGCGGGCACGGAATGTTTTCGTACAATGAAGTGGATGCCTGCGGGATTTTGAAGACGACTAATGTAAGGTGGTTTTGTTTTGAAGCGGGATGCATCGAGTCGGGAACAAAAGGTAAACGGCGGAAGTAGAGGAGTAGAGCTATCGCGCGGAGGACACGGGGCTCGCTGTCATCGGGTGAAAGAGGCGAGAGAGCTAGTCTCCGAACGGAGGAAAGCAACCAAAACCAGCAACTGAAGCAGAATGAATCGATCACTTCCCCAGGGTGGGAAAGCGTGACGTGGTTTGAAGAGCCTACTGCATGCATACCTGATACCCACCCTCACCGGGGGTTCCGTAGTTGAGAATTTGACGGCCTTACGTGGACTAGCCCATGGTAATTGCGGAACACTGATAAGATTTCGTACCTAGAATACTGTGCGGTTTACCTAATGGTACAGGTTGCGGGCAAGCAGTACCGGAATACATACGATGGAACAAGTTCAACCTTGAAGGCACCCTGCGCCACAGAAGGAAGGTTGGGGCTCTCGAACTCTCTGTAACCACGAGAGTCAGTTGTTTCGCTTTGCTCGACCTTTTTCGGTGAGACTTTTTGTGTCTGCGTTGATTCCAAAGCACGAACAAAATCTTGGAGGATTTTTTCAAACCAAAGCCACTTGGGGCTTTTTCAACATGATGTCCAAGATCTTTCCATTTATTTTACATGCCTGTCGCTTTGTGCGCCCCCGTTCGCTCGTTCTCAGGCTCGGGGATGATTCTCGCGGGGTCTGGAGGGAGTGCGGGGACAACAAGCGGCAGCAGCACCGGAGGGGCGGGAACGGGCCGGGAGGGCGAGCTGTCAGACCGGAGGGAGCGGATGCGCATGGCGGCGTTGCGGCGGGCGGAGGCAGCATCGGCGTCGGCCGAAGCGGCTGCCGGGAACGGCGGTGGCGGCTGCGGCAGCGCTGCCGCATCGAGTCTAAAGATGTCGTGACCACGTTAACCGTGTCATAATCAGAGACGTGGTTTGCTCGTGTGGTTTGTAGATGTGCCTTTATAGAGGTGTCTCCTTCGTAGCAGTGATGTAGGTGTGAAAGCTGCTGTGGACGGCAAGCGTCAGAGAAGTACGACCCCCCCCCCCCCCCCC